GGGCTGCCAAACAACAATCATGGCTACAACCAAAAAACAGCCAGGCGTTGTGGCAGGCACCTGTGGTCCCAGCTACTTGGGAGGTAGACGCAGGAGACTCACTTGAGCCCGGGAGTTGGAGGTTGCTGTGAGCTGTGATGCCATGGTACTCTACCCAGGGCAACAGCTTAAGGCTTTGTCTAAAAAAAAAATTAATAAAAAATTTAAAAAACCAAATAAATATAATAAATGAATAAATACAAACAACACCTTCAAACATGTTCAGGTCAAATAGAAAGACCCAATTCAATTATTTCAAAGCCAAACTTTATACATAATTGATGGAATCTTATGAAATGAAGGACCTTCCAGAAGGAAGATCTATTGGGGAAGGTAGTAGGAAAATTGGAAATCACATAGCATGTACAACAGGGGAGGCTAAACTCCAAATGCCTTCGTCTTTTTGCCTGTTTCTTTTTTAGACGGAATCTTGTTCTGCTGTCTGAGAAGCACAGTGCCATCATTGTAGCTTAAACTCCCAGACTCAGGCAATCCTTCTGCCTCAGCCTTCCAAGTGACTGGGACCAGAAGCTCGCCACCACTCTCAGTTGATTCTTTTATTTTTTTTGTAAAGATGGGGTCTGGCCTGTGCTCAGGCTGGTCTCAAACTCCTGGACTTAAGCAATCCCCCACCCCCCTCAGCTTTCTAAAATGCTGGGATTATAAGCATGGGCCACCTCGCCTGGCCTCAAGCACCTTTGTTATAGGCTCCTATATATAAATCTTCTAGTTTTGTTGGATGGGAGACGCTAATGCTTGCCATGCCATTTGCACTCCAATATGTAAAAATCATCTTTGTTTTCATATTAGCTTCCTGTAAACTACGATGAACACTATTTTTCTTCTCCCTACCCCAAAAAGTGTTTTTATTGGTATTTATCAGCCTGGTCTACCTAAGCAGGACCAAAGGTATCAGATGACCCTGCTGGCCAGAGGCAATGTGACATTTTGTGGTTGGAAAGTCTTAAGTTCAAGGTTCTAATCCTGATGCTTTCACCAGGTGGCCTATATGTCTCCTAACCTCTTTCTGCATCAGTTTTTGTCTGGAAGGGGAGACACTAGTAATCCTCACTGCCAGTACTATGAGGATTCAATCATAATCTGCAGAGACCCTTAGAACCATGACTCACACACTATTAACACTAAGGGGTGGCACCTGTGGCTAAGTGAGTAGGGCGCTGGCCCCATATACTGAGAGTGGCGGGTTCAAACCTGGCCCCAGCCAAACTGAAGCAAAATAAAAATAGCTGGGCATTGTGGTGGATGCCTACTTTAGTCCCAGCCTACTTGGGAGGCTGAGGCAAGAGAATGGCCGAAGCCCAAGAGCTGGAGGTTGCTGTGAGCTGTGACACCACAGCTTTCTACTGAGGGCAACAAAGTGAGACCCTGTCTCTTAAAGAAAAGGAAGGCTCGGCGCCTGTGGCTCAAGTGGCTAAGGCGCCAGCCACATACACCTAAGGTGGTGGGTTCAAATCCAGCCTGGGCCGGCCAAAACAACAATGACGGCTGCAACCAAAAAACAGCTGGGCACTGTGGCAGGCACCTGTGGTCCCAGCTACTTGGGAGGCAGAGGCAGGAGACTTGCTTGAGCCAGGTGTGGGAGGTTGCTGTGAGCTGTGATGCCACAGTACTCTACCCAGGGGGATAGCTTGAGGCTCTGTCTCAAAAAAAAAAGAAAGAAAGAAAGAAAAAAAAGAAAAGAAACACTTACTAAATACAATATGGGGCTGGGTGCCCATAGCTCAATGGTTAGAACGCCGGCCCCAGGCACCGGGGGTGGCGGGTTCAAACCCAGCCAGGGCCTACTTACAAAATTAATACAATACGTTATATAAGCACTTATAGAATTTTTAGCCTGAGAGAATTTAAGAAATGATTAGAAAACTACCTCCATCCTTCACCCTGTCAGGCTTTCTACCCAGAATCATTGGAATAGGCCCTTTTGCAGAAATAAGAACTACAGGTGAGAGTGGCAACCAGTGTAATATAGGAATTCCTCAGGTAGATGTGAGAACTTATGTTGCATTCTGTTTGGTTTTTCAAACAACTTTATTAAGACGTGACATACAATGAGCATGTGTAATTTGATCTGTTCTGATGTACATGTGCACCCATGAAATCACCATCACAAGTGAGATAACAGATCTGTCCACCCACCCCTAGTCCTGTGTGCTTGCACTGCCCTTCCCTGCACCTGCTCCCACCGCAGGCAAACACTGATCTGTTTTCTATCACTATACATTGGTCTGAATTTTCTATAAACTTGTATACATGTATTCACACAGTGTGTACTTCCCAGCAGCCTGGCTCCTCTCAGAGTGACACCCTGAGAGTCAGTCATGCTATCTAAGTCAATGTCTTCATGTGGACACCTGCATCTGGTTCCCTTGTATAGACATCTAGGAGAGGAACAGTTTGATCCTAACTGTAGGTGGCATTTTAAGAAAATTCCAGGGACTGGGTGCAGTGGCTCATGCCTGTAATCCCAGCACTCTGGGAGGACAAGTGGGCAGATCGCGTGAGGCTCACAAGTTTGAGACCAGCCTCAGCCAGAGAGAGACATCATCTCTAAAAATAGCCAGGTGTTGTGGAGGGCACCTATAATCCCAGCTTATTGGGAGGCTGAGGCAAGAAAATTGCTTGAGCCCAAGAGTCTGAGGTTGCTGTGAGCTATGACGCTATAGCACTCTACCAGGATTGACAAAGTGAGATTGTCTCTTAAAAAAAAAAAAAGGAAGGGAAAAAAAAAAAAACACGGAGAGGGGAGGGGAGGGGAGGGGAGGGGAGAGGAGAGGGGAGGAAAAAAAAGAGGCTCAGTGCCCGTAGCATAGTGGTTATGGTGCCAGCCACATACACCGAGGGTGGCGAGTTCAACCTGGCTCAGGCCGGCTAAACAACTGCAACAACAACAAAAAATAGCTGAGTGTTGTGGTACCTGTAGTCCCGGCTGCTTGGGGGGCTGAGGCAGGAGAATCACTTGAATCTAGGAGTTAGAGGTTGCTGTGAGCTGTGACACCACAGTATTCTACTAAAGGTGACATAGTGAGACTCTGTCAAAAATGAAAGGAGGGAGGGAGGAAGGAAAATGCCAAACTCTTTTCATAATCATTGTGGCCTTTTCACATTCCCGAAATTCCCATCAGCAGTCCAGAGAGAGTTCTTGGTCTTCACACCCTGCTAACTGTCCCACCTTCCTAACAGAAGAATAAAGGCACTTCCTCAGGGTTCCGACATGTAATTCCTCCAATGTGTAATTCCCCATGCTGAAGACTGTGTTCATCTTTCCATATGCCTCTAGATGCTCTCTGGCAAAGTGTCTGCTTAAGTCACTTGCTTTTTTTTTTTTTTTAGACTGGTTACTCATTTTCTTAATACTGAGTTTTTGAGAATTATTTACATATTCTAAATATAAATCGTCTAAAAGATGTGATTTGTAAATATTTTCTGCCAATCTATGACTTGTTGTTCATCCTTTGTCTTTCAAGAGCATAAGTTTTTAATTTTGATCAAGTCTAATTTATAAATGTTTTACCTTTTATTTTTTCCTTCCTGTAGAGACAAGAGTCTTACTTCATCGCCCTCAGTAGAATGCCATGGCATCACACTGCTCACAGCAACCTCCAACTCCTGGGCTTAGGTGATTCTCTTGCCTCAGCCTCCCGAGTAGCTGGGACTACAGGCGCCCACCACAATGCCCAGCTATTTTTTTTTGTTGCAGTTCGGCCAGGCTTAAATCCACCACCCTCAGTATATGTGGCCAGTGCCCTACCCACTGAGGCACAGGCGCCACCAAATGTTTTCCTTTATATATTGTGCTTTTGATGTCACATCTAAAAACAACTTTGCTTAACCCCAAAACCTCAACAATTTTTGTTCTCTTTTTGAAGTTTTTCTAACTAGAGATTTATATTTTGGTCTATGGCCCATTATGGTTAAATTCTGTGCATGGGGCTCAGCACTTGTGGCACAGTGATTACAGCACCAGCCACATACACTGAGGTGGGGGTTCAAACCTTAGCTAAGCCTGGCCCTGTGGCCCTGGCTTAGCTAAGCAACAATGACAACTGCAACAAAAAAAATAGCCAGGCGTTGTGGTGGGTGCCTGTGGTCCCAGCTACTTGGGAGGCTAAGGCAAGAGAATCACTTGGGCCCAAGAGTTTGAGGCTGCTATGAGCTGTGGAGCCACAGTACCCTACCAAGGGAACTATAGTGGGGACTTTGTCTTTAAAAAAAAAAAAAAAAAATTCTGTGCATGTTATTAAGTCCACCTTTTGTACACAGACATCCAATTGTTCCAGCACCCAACTGTTCTTTCAATTTAGTTTTACTCTTCAATTTAAAGTCATTTTCTACTTTGAAGAGTTGCAAAACTAATACAAGGCAGCTGTACACCTTTACCTAGATTTGCCAACCACTGACATCGAACATGTGCTTTATTACTTCCTCTTTATACAAACATGTCACTTGAACCATGTTCCCCCTTTGTCTATACCATATACTGGTATTTCAACTCAGATTTGATTTGAAAATAAAGGAATTCTCCTGTTTTCTAATGAAAAAGGTTGGAAATGCTGCTCTTACCCAGAATATAAATAATAATCACTTGGGACTTTTAGCCTTCTTGCTGAATATTAAATAGAAGATATTTAAGAAAACATCCTTTGGGGTGGCACAGGCTCCATATGTCAAGGGTGGTGGGGTTGAACCCAGCCCTAGCCAAACTGCAACAAAAAAATAGCCGGGTGTTCTGGTGGGCACCTGTAGTTCCAGCTACTTGGGAGGCTGAGGCAGGAAAATCACCTAAGCCCAGGAGTTAGAGGTTGCTGTGAGCTGTGATGCTATAGCACTCTGCCGAGGGCAATAAAGTAAGACTCTGTCTCCAAAAAAAAAAAAAAAAGAAAAAGAAGAAATTTATATATTATATTTTAAGAACCACTGAGAATCAATTATATCAAAATTACCTTAATTCAGAAGTACTTCTGGTCTGGTCTTCAATACATGTAAATTTGTCTGTAACAAACAGAAAAGGCTACATTTACATTGCATTCAAGTTGTGAAGAAAACATTCCATTTTGCTAGTAATTACATTTTAAGCAAAAGTACATATAAATCTATTGCTTCCCTTTTACTATTTCTTCCCCAAAATTGCTTTACTGTAGCATTGTTTTTCAGTGTGAATAAAACAAATCTGATCAATTTCTTTTTAAAGAAGCCTTAGAAATGCCCCAGGGAAAATACCTTGAATTAAACTGATAAGCATGGGAGGTAGGGTCAGAATTCTATTACTAGGAAAATCACAGTAACAATTAAAAAAAAATCACTGCAATTTAATTAATTTCTAAGATTACTCTAACCCAGACTTATCCCATTTGGCATGTAAATGTAAAGGACTTCATCTGAACTTCAAGGAAGCCACCAGCTGTTTTCTGAGACCTCCTTGTCTCCTCCTGCTGTCACATACAGTCCAGGGCCTGCCCTGGGCTCCAAGAAAACAGTCTGGAGTGGAGACAAAGATCTCAAGGGAGGCTCTAAGCTGTTGACATTTCTCAGCTGGAACAAGATACATTTAATTCTAGTTTTCTCCTAAGTATCTGTATTTACTTTCCAAGAAATTAAACTCTCGTTAAGACCACCCGTAAGATTCATAGCTACCACCTGCCTGCTGGTTCAAGTCCCTGCAAATCTGTAGACCATGTCAAGCTGAATCATCTCTTATTTGAACTGTGAATTCTAATTTAATTGATAAAGTAGTTTAATTTTGGAATAATGCTGCTCATGTACTAGCAAGCACATATTTTGGGGGCAGTAAAAGGAGGAAGGAAAACTGCAGTTCCTTGAGATGTGAAACACAGAAACACTACACAACCTAGCAATCTGGACTCAGCACACGCACACATCATGTGCACAATAGCAGCATTCAGTAGCCAGGAAAGAAGACGGCCCAAATGATTCACTGATGCATGATTGGCTGAACAAAACATGGTGTGTACAGAAAGACAGACACAGAGAACATTCCTCAGCCACATGAAGAGGAAGAGACACCGGCACACACTGCAATATAGACAAGTTCCACCACCAGCTAAGAGAAAGGGCCCCCACCCACGTAGAGTGCCCAGAATAGTTGAGTCCACAGAGACAGGGTGCAGTGGTTGCCAGCAGCAAGCAGGAGTGTGCACGGATGTGATGAGCAACTACTGCACAGGCAGAAGTTCCCTTTGGGGTGATACAAATGTTGTGAAATGAGGTAGATGCTTGCACAACACTGTGGCTGTGCTAGCTGCTGCTGAGCTGTTCTCTAAAGTGAATTAATTTTTATGTTATGTGAATTTCACCTTTAAAAAAGGGCACAAAGCCAGGGAACACAGGAGTTAACCAGTGAGTGCAAACTACCACCACCTTCACAAAGCCCTGCAGCAAGGAGGGTCCTAGCACACACCCACTGCACCACCAAGTTTTCCGGGGAGAGGTCTTAGTCTCAGCACCACTGCCATTTCAGGTAGGATCATTCTGAGGGGGTGGCTTTCTGGGGGCAACATGGTGCTCGGCACCACCCTGGCCGCTACCCTCTGGGTGACAGTGGCACTCCCTGCCCCAGCTGTAACCACCACCAGATATCCCATGAGGGGCAATATCAGCCCCAGTTGGGAACTTGTTAAAGTTATTGTCACAATTATCCTATTGTCACAATCATCCCATCTCTAATTATAAATTTTCCCAGGAATGTTCCATGTCAAGAATCAAGCAGAAAAAGAAAAAACAGCCAGAAAAAGTTCATCATCGTTTGCTCTATTTTAAATGTTTCGACGACCTTGTGGCTCAAGTCCTGACTCACATGGCCATGGTTACAGTGGAAGCAGGGATGCTGAAAGCACATCAAAGTTTTCTGTGGACTCCAGGTACCTCTGCCTGGTTTCACACAGAGTTGTCTGGCCTCGTTTCTGGCTAAAAACAAACCCCAAATGTGGACTCTCTTTCTGACTACAGAAAGCAGCACTAACTGTAAGACTGCTGGCCCCACAATAACATGACCCTAAACAAGTAGTACCATCTTTAAAGAAAATCAGGAAACTGAGGCTGGGAGGCGGAGGCGGGGGAATCACTGGAACCTAGGAGTTTGAGGTTACTGACCAAAGCTTACATTTTGCTTTTTTTTGGAGATACAGTCTCATTTTGTCACCCTGGGTACAGTGCTGTGTTCATAGCTCAACTCCTGGGCTCAAGTAATCCTCTTGCCTCAGCCTCCTAAGTAGCTGGGACCCCACCATGCCTGGTTAGTTTTCTATTTTTAGTAGAGGTTCGTCTGAAATTTCTGAGCTGAATCCATCCACCGGGGTCTCCTAGAGTGCTGGGATTATAGGTGTGAGCCACTGCACCCAGCCAGAGTTTTACATTTTACCAATGCCACTATACCTATGAGAAGTAAAAGGTGGGAGGGTAAGATGTCGCTTCAGACCTTCAGGAGCTGATAATACTAGACTGTTTGAGCCAGCAGACTGAGGTACCTGGATTCCACAGAAAAGGGGGACAAGCACACCCTGACATATGGGAGGGAGACCATCCCGACAGAGGCTAGCCTCAACAGGCACCAGGGGTCAGTACTTGCTGAATCTTTATTTCATATTTGTGGAGAGGAAATCCTCAGGAAAACTGGGGGAAATTGTAAGAAATTAAGGAAAGAAAGATACAGACATAAATTTCAAGGAAACGGTTAAATGATTTACAGACCCATTTTTAATCAAAATTTATATTTAAAATAAAATTCAAATCACAGATTTAAAGGATTAAGTACAAATTTATTATCAATTTTATGAATCAACCAAGTCAGTCTCCAAAAAAACCCATCCCACACCACAGCTTTTAGGCTCTGCCTGGTGGGGCAGTGACCTGCTGTGAGCTCAAGTACTGCTGTCCTGTCTTGTCTAGGCTAGGAAAGTCAGCCTGTGCACACTTGTAGCACAAAGAAAGAAAGCTTCTAGCCCACACTTTGCATACCACACTACTCTTCCCAGCACTCCCACCATTTCAGGTTGCCTCTGGCTGCATCTCAAATGCTGGCCTTTGAAATCTACTTAATGTAAATGTGAAGGACTTCATCTGCAGTCCTTTAGCTTTATTTTAAAGCTACCTATGGGTCAAATTCCCTGAACACCCCATTCATTCAACAAATGCTTCTGAGTTAATAAACATAAGTTAGTATGACAGAAGCTGAAAACAGTCAACAAAAGCAGACATAGTTACCCACCCACGAGTCTTATAGCCCAGCAGAGGCTTTACAAGTTCAACTAAAATCAAGAAGGGCTAGTGTCATGTGGGCCCATGTGATCTGAGTAAAACCCTGGAAATACATGAGAACGTCCAGAACAGGACTCTTGAGACTCAAGAAGGAAAAGGTGAAGCAGAAAATGCAGGCAAGACACAATCAGACTAGGTTCTCTTGACACCGCAGGGAAAGCACGACAGCCGAGAGCAGAGAGGCCACTTAGAGAGAGGAACTGTAGTGGGTTTCAGAGCTCACTTGGCGACGTGCAGGATAGCAGGGTAGTCTGTTTTCAGAGCTGGGTATTTCGTGGTTGTATTCAGTAAAATCCTTAGGGGATTTCCTAGACTGGATTACTATGTGAAAGATTAGGTGCCTTTTTAAGGATCTTTTTCTTTTTTCTGAGACAGGAGCCTCAAGCTGTCCCCCTGGGTAGAGTGCTGTGGCATCACAGCTCACAGCAACCTCCCACTCCTGGGCTCAAGTGAGTCTCCTGAC